ATAAATAACACAGAAAATGAATAAAAATCGATTCTATAACTGTTTCGGAACCAATATGGAACTGAAGAAATGACGATTTTAGGACCCGATATTAAAATCAAAATAGAAACTGTAACCGAAACAGACATCAGTTGGAAATTTTTTAATATATAAATCTTATATAATATATAAATAATATATGCATGTATATATAATAAAAAATATATATAATATATAAATCTTTATTATACTTGTTTTAATTAGAAATGGTTAGTTAGAAATAGTTATATTTTCCATTTCGTAAGTTTTAAATCTCGGCTGAAAGCATTTACGAAGATAAATAAGCTAAACTTGGACGAACTTCTGTATTTCAGGCTATTCCGTAATCTACATATTAGCAACGTTTATCTCGCTCGTCCTATTACATAGCCTAGTAAACAATTAGGTAAACGAAAGATTAGCATTCGGAGAAAAGTAATTGGACGATTATTCACGCCGTCTGTTTCCCATGTTCGCTATCACGAAGAATTTGTAGAGAACAATTGTCGATAGGTGTTATTTAACTCGGGCAGAGTAACGTAACGAAATACCTCGGTAGTTTTGCAACGAAATGGTGGAAATGGAATATGGGCTGGTGCGAGTGTAACACTATCTTCAAAGGATATCGAATGAAGTTGTACTCAGTCCTACTGTTTTTTCAGACCGGAACTCGAGCGAAGATAGATTGGTAACATTTAAGCAGAGTAGTAAACCCGCGATCTGTTGTCTCGTTGATCCGTGATTTAGTGGATTGAATTTCGTTCGCCAGTCCTTCCATATTTTCTTTTTTCGCGGTAATAGAATTTCGTTGTGAAAACGAACGACTATCTTTCTGGCCTATTTATCAGCGAACAAAACTTATTCTCTCGGGAATCCACTAATGGATTTCGTGGATTTTAGAACACGTTTCGCACGTGTTCGCTGTCCAGTAAATTTTATGATCGGCTTCGTAACGATAATCGACACGTTCTGCATCGTTTCTAAAGATCGACAAATATCTTTCAAAGTGAATCGGTTATGATGCAACAACGGTCGTTCTTTCATCTTGTTTTGCAGATGAAATATCGAACAGTTAATTGACAGATACATAATATAGGCATGCTGTTCACCTTGGACGGGTTCCGGACCTTCCCTTCAAAAATATTATCCTTAAAAAACTAAATTATGAAAATCGTTTAAATAACAGTTCACGACACATTGACTCGGTCTTTCGTCATGTTTAGGAAATCATTGAAGAGTCAACAGCAACTTGTCCAGTTGTGATTGAAAACATCGAACTCCTTAATGTGGATTAGGGTGTCATTTGTACATAGATTGCACGTTTAACGAAATACACGGGTTATTCGTAAAGGAAATTTACTTTTATCATTTCATATGCAGGAATATGTACAGGTTTCTATGAAGATCTATAGCAAACAATGTTTTCGATTGTCGAATAGCATTTTCATCTCATTGTTGAAACACGGATTAGTGGTGCACTCTGATTGGTGTAAAAGTCACATATGGCTACCATTCGACTTGGTAATATGAAGTACAACAACAAGAAGACGTAAACCCAAACTATATGACAGATTTAACGGAAGTTCTTCTTTCAGAAAAAGTCGTTATAATGGACTAGTACCGTCTCAGGGCAACTTCAGAAGTCGTTAAGATGATTGGTGGCGCTTTAAATGAACATTTATGGAGATTTTGTTGCCCACGAACAGCAGCTTGAATACCTGCGGTACACAGACTAAGGAGCGCTAGTTACTCAGGAAAATCATTCTCTTTGTTAACACGAAGAATGCAAATTTGTAATTCCACGAAATTTTCTTACGGTTTTCGCCTTATTCAGCTCGAAATATTTCAACAATATCGAGGCGCGCGGGTTTCACAGTTTCACAGTGGTTTATTAACAACAAAATAAATCGGTGGAGGTAAACACACGCGGCAACATTCTCGACCCCCATGAGAAATTCCTAGGTGCACGGCTGGAAATCAAACTCAACTATCGTTGCTCGTTGCGTCAGCATTTGCGACTTTCGTCTTTCGACGAGCTGCTACCGTGCACCAGTGTCCACCAACCGTAATCTTATCATAGTGTAACAGATTGGTGAGTAATAGCATTAGAAAGTTCGCGTGTTTGCCGAAAAGAATATATGTTAAAATCGCGCGAACAGTCGGGAAGAATATCCGAAGGCAGTGTTGTTATGTGTTTACCGGCGCGGCAGCGGCCAATATTCTTAACGATTTAGAGCAGCCGTAACAGCGGCCTGTGTGCATACAAGGTGTTTCATTCTAAGCGGGCACGATCAGCCGCGATTAACTTAACGCTGCTTTCACACCAAGTTATCTTTTTAGCGACGGGATTATCCATTGTGACGTTGGCGTACCAACGCCTTGACATTCTGCCCGCCTCCGGCGACCGACAAACCGAATTTTTGTTCACGTCGGTCCCTTGGATTGTTACATAAATGACTATAGAATTACGGAAGAGTTCATGAATGAAATTTTCGTACAGTTTCCCGTCGATCACACATCGGCGGCCGACGCTAAATCGAATAGATTACGATTCGTTATTACGTTGCACGGTGTCGTACGGATCGAAGTTTTTCAATTCAAGAACGATAGTATCGGAAATGACTGAAATATGATTTTGAAATATAAACGAATTACAGCAACACCCAGTATACAAGCGATTCCGAAACATTGGACGTTTGATAAAGCATCTCGATTAAACGCATTTCTCCGATGTCTGTTACGAGATAGAAAGGCGAAATTCTTCTCTAAACTGGGAAACTGTTATCGCAAGCGTTTCCGTCGGAAAAATGTTCCACCATCCTGCCGGAGACTCGCTTACCTCACTACACTAATCTGAAATGTTCATCTCGAGCAATCGTTCATTGCCTGCAATTAAGAGAAATTAGCAATAGATGCTTTTATTTTGCTCTTTTAAACGGTCGATACAAATACACGTGCACGTATATGTATATGGTAGAAAATCGATTGTTCCTAGGGTAAACGTTTAGAAAACGGGGGCAGAAAACGAAAAGAATGGGTCGCAGGTGTTAGATTAGTGTGTTCGTCGAGTTTGATTACAGAAAAATTGATCGAGCTACGAACAATGAACCTACAATTTTAAACGGCATCGCATCGAATTTGATGCAGCATTTACAGTTCGTTCGAAGCAATTTTTCTTCGTTATTTTTCTTCGTGTTCTTGCTTCTTATCCGTTGCTCGGATCGGAATAATTTCTTTCCCCTTCGTCTTCTTCGGCTCTTCTTCTTCTTTTTCTTCTTCGGCCTTCTTGATCTTCGAGTCTGTTTTTCTTCGCGGTTTCTTCATTTTCTTGGGCAGCTCCTTCGCAGTTTCTCTCGACGACTTTTTTCTTATTACCTTTAACAGACAACGATATAACGGGTGTGACGACGACAACATTCCTAGGGCGATGCAGCATTTACAGTCACATCCACTGTTTATCTGATGCAACTGAACCCTTTTGGCAACGTCACAATATTTATTAGTACTGTTCATGGTACAGTTGTAACTTAGCTTCGTGGTTTTCATTGCATTTTCATTCTTTTTTTTTAGTTCCGATTACTAGTAGACTATTTTCCGTAGATTCGAGTGCGCCGAACACGAAACCGAAAATCGTTCTTCTCCGTCACCGTCAGCTCGTGAGTTTGCTTTTGAAGAAAGCCAAATTCTCCCAAACGATATAGAAGCTATACGAATGATTCCTAGATAAAACGATTCTATAGAATGTCGGAAAACAGAACAGCGTATCTTCTATCACCTTCAAAATATTTAAATATTGTTTATTACGTCGAATACGCCCATTTTCTTGGACATTTATCAATATATTTGAAAAATGAGGGCACCTTAGGAAAATTTAATTAGACGCGACAGAGCGCACCTTTTCTTTTCGAAAATCGGATCAAGAAAGTTAGGATGTAAATTTCGTTTTTTATTGACAAAATAAAATGGCTTCTCGCAAGAGATGCCAGTGAGCCTCCGCGGTAACATTCACTTTGCGTTCACCGTAAGACTTATTATCGTGATTTATTGCAGTATTTACTGTCAGAACCTTTAATGGTTGTTAAAACAAATATCAAGCAACTGCTAACGTATTGAACTCACCGTGTTAGCGTGTGTAATATGCTATGCTGAATGAGTTGCGTATGTTGAAATTTACGTCTGGCTCTTTCCTAACACGTTTAAACATTTATGAAGTTATAAAAAAAATACACCGCTGAAGAGTCTACAGAATTATTCCGTGTAATTTTCACGATTAAAGCTGAAGAAGTGCTTAAAGATGAAAATGATCTTATTTGTTTTTAAATTGAATTTCTCAAAAACTGAGGGTGATTAGTATTTTATGGTCAATACTTAAATTTTTTGGATCAGTATTTACTCATTTCGGGAAAGTTTCCAAGTTCGTATTGGTTATTTAAATCGTACTTCAGTGAATGAGTTCATTATCCTATTTAAAACATGTCTGAAAAATCTAGCGAGATACTTACAGTATTAAAGTTACTTATCCTCGGGATATTTTCATAGATAAAATAAATATTAGTCATTTCTTAAATGAGGAATGTTCTATGCGACTGTTACATTGCAGAAACGAAGAACGGTTGCGTTTATCGCCTGCGTAGAGCAACTGAAGAGAAACTAGGATGTGTTTATTAGTAGAATATGCATAGAATTTTAATTGGTCAGATGTACGGTCGTTCTATTTGAATTTTAACGATTGCATCGGGAACTACGATAACATTGCTACTAACTAAGTAGTTTATCTTAATTAATGTATAAAATGTGCAAATAAATTGTTCCTCTGTTACAACTGTACAGGTAGGGTGTCAGAGAAAAGGCAAGCGTCGAATAACTAATCTTAATTAGTTGGAGCCTAGCTAAAGCAGAGATAAAAGAATTTACAATTTCTTACGTTCCTACTGTTCGAAAGTGGAACTTACAATAAGTGTATGTCGACAAACGTAATTTGCATCGTTTACACGATAATGTATGTACCCATTTGTATACAAGATAAATTGATACAGTTGAAATTATTGAATTATTTAAGTGTTTATGTGACTTAATAATCACTTAATAACATCAAAACAAAATATAACTCTGTTTGATCTATGTCTCTGAAATAGGTGAAAAAGAGTAAAATGATCTCTCCTACCATGCGTTGCATTAATTTCTTCGTAGTCGGCTGTGAGTTAAATCTTCTGTCCCACATTTCCTTCTCTTGCCACCAGATACGCTGGTATTCGTTCGTTAACAGTTGTTCCATGCAAGGCCGTTTTTCCCTGAGGACAATTTCGACACTACGATTAATAATAGATTATCTAACTTTATGCAAATTACAGAAAAATTTGCCGAAATAAGGTACACCTAAAATTTGTACTTCTCTCTAACTTTCGATTCGATGAATTCAAAACGAAAGAGAACTATATTAAATTTGAATTTTTTATTTTATAAGTTTTCGATGATTTGCATACGTTAAGAATGTATAAACTGATATTTTTAGATGTAGACAGATGTTACTTTACTTTCAGGTTAAGGAATAGAAATTTATATATTGTTATATTTTATACAGTTTAAAAATCTCTGTATAATAACGAGTCTGATAAGCTCTTCATTTCTTTTTATGTCGAAATAGAATTGTATTTTCCAATTGTATATATCCAAGCATTAAAATAAATCTGGACATGAAATAAACATGATTTTTTTAACTACTGAGGAAATGATTAAAGTCTAGGAATTTTGAATTCTTGTAGCTGCGAAGAAAATAATATGGGAATGTGTTAAAAAAGAATAAAAATTAAAGCAAACTAAGATGAAAAAGGATAATTATGATCATATTGGAAAAGGACTGTGTCCATTATGGTCATTGAACTTTTAGTTTGAAACTTTAAGTAAACGAGGTATTATTAAATACCTGTTTTTGCTGACAGAAACTTTATAACTTATATTATATTATTTGATATATTATATTTACTTATATTATAAGACTCTTATTTGCCCTTACAATTCTAAAAAGTCATGTGGATTTGCGGCGGATCGATATTAAATACAGGTACATATGAGTCTAACGAATTACTTTTCGTAAGAAGGCACGAAAGTTTTCAGCATTGCATACTGCGAAGACACAATGTTGTCCGGAGCCTTCAAAGGCACCGCGGCTGACCACTGTTTAATTTTCACATCGCTAACAGGCGCGTTCATGGTTGCCATTCGAGCAATCCCGTCGTGTAATAATTCCCAAGTTTCCAGATTTTTGAGATCCTCTTCTTGGACTGCACCGTTAATGACGAATCAAAGCGCCACAAAATGGCGGATCGACTGCGAAAGAATCGAAGCAAACATCTCTCAGAAAATACCTACTGACTGAAATCGGATGCAAAGCTTGATCGACTCAATGTATCGAAAGCTCGTGTACGACTTGGTAATCTTAGCTTTTGTTTTATATAGGATGTGTATAAATAAATTTTGGAATATAGTAGATTTCGAATAGGTATTATTGAGAGCTATAACGCGTACGCCTATTGGCCTAAATTGGTCTACATTATGACGATTTTCACTGCGATATTTGCAACGAGCTGATTAATGTGTTTCTTCTAAATAAATTGTAGAAGTTTTTGTTGTTTTCGGTTTTACCCTATATGTATTTCTCAATCCTTTGCCGCACTTTGACGAGTCTGGCTCGTGATGGAGATATCGGAGAAATGGAGATACATATGTGTATAGATATAATAGTAACCTGTTAAGTATGAATGTTATTTCGTTCCTTTAACACTACGTTTAAGGATCGCTAAAAGCAGTAATCTTATGTTACCTCATCAAAATAACAATCACTTTTCTTGCTCAGCGTGTAACTTAGCCAATAATAATCGAAAGTCTGAAAATTGGAATGAGCTAGGTGGAACAGGCGGCCGATTCCCCTTGCCCCTTGCCCCTTGCGTCATTTATTTTATGCTTAGTGTTTCATTTTCTCGTTTCCCGATATTACGTTCTTGACACTAGAGTTATGGAACCCGTCAAAATGACGGGTCACTAATTTTTTAATTTACGATTATTCATAGCGTAAAGATACATTTATGGGTTATTTATTCAATTTATATGTTACTTACGGCAAATGTTACGATAACGCTTGTTATAAGAATCAGAATAAATGTCTTATTTTACTTCTATGAAATAAGTTAATAAGGATATTTTACTTTTTTGTGCTTCGTAAATAACGTACAACGTACGTTAACGTAGGCGTAAGATGTCATATGACACGACATAAATATAAAAAATATGTGCATAGTACAGCAGGTTCGCTGCATAATCTAATGAAAAAAAGTTAATCAAGATGCTAATTAGTAATTAGTAATCACAAATAATCATCGAAAGAATCTGAAGTTAACACGTTCTGTGCCACGTGTACCACGGACGGTACGTGCTTACATGTTCATTTAACGCGCTAAAAACATAGTTTATAGCAAATTCAGAAGTGAAGAATTAATTTTCACCAGAAGAATGGGTCATAATAAGTTTGTTTTATTGTACAATTAACACGTTGGCTGCCGCGCGAATTTTACGTGACTTGCCCAAGGCGCCAACATGAATTTTTCATTATGCGATGCATATTATGTTGAAATATTATTTACAGCAGATAAGTTTAGTTGTATAAACTTGTTTTATGCATTTTTCGTGGCGCATTGTAATAAATTACAATTATTATAATATTATATTATTTAAAAATTTATGCGTATCGATGTTTACCCTAATTATGTATTTTAACTGTTCGTCGCGTCGCCGGTCACCGGTGGCCCCCACGGCGCTGTAGCCAAGTCGAGTGCCGGTCACCGGTGACCCCCACGGCAGCCAACGTGTTAAT